TCTAGAAGAGGAGTTTTTAAGGGAGTCATCATCATCATCATCATATACGGAGAGGAGGATGAGTGCCAGTCGGAGCAGAAAAGACTCAATAACAGCGTTTAGGAATGGAGCGTTGGCTTTACCTCCAGCAGTGCATAGGTTCCTTGCTGGGCTTCAGCTCCGCATCAGCAATCACCACGCCCACGGCTGAGTCAGGGTTAGTCAACCTCGACTTCGCAGTGTCCCCAAGGAAGTGTGTTTGGACTACCATGCGGCCGACTTCCTGCAGATCCTTCAATCTTGTCAGTCATGCAATCAAAAACCTCAAGACCCGATGGTTTGATCGAACATCTGCTGGAGCGCCTGATTCACAATAAGGAGGGAAACCCGTTTTAGCACCAGAAGAAACCCTTGCTTGAGCCCTCCAAAACCTCATCAAAGCGTGACCCTCCCCACTTTCTTTTAATCAACCCACCGACAAACTCGCACACCTGATCCCGCAAATTCTAGCATGACTCTCGACCACTTCAACTTCAGCGTCAAACTTGTAGCAAGCAACAAGTGCATCACTGAAGATCATGCATAGACTGCATAGATGCTTTTTTGCATTGTTTACACCACTCCAACTTTCGACATCCGATTTCTTGTCCAAATGTGCTTGCACATGCCATGGCCAGTGCAGATTCCTCGCGGTCCAGCAGAAGAGCGGCCAACTCCATCGAGATGTCTGCATCGGCATCCTTGGATTCGCGGCAATCTTCCTGGAGAGAGCGGAGTGAGGCGGGACTCATGGGGAGAACCTAAATCTGACCCTCGTACGGGAGAATCAAATGGAAAAGAACATGTTCAAATGAAATGAAAACTGCTTTAAAGGGTGGTTTTATAGGGAATTGTCTAGGGGTTATTAAGGGGGATACAAGGAGTTTAGACTTTGGTATGTATAGTTTATGGGATTGGGGATAATGGAGAATCAGCTGGGAGAAAAATGGTAAGTTAAATGGCAATTACTAGCGGTAAGTTAAAGGGAAATTGCTATTTAGGGTTAAGACGATGGAATCCACTGTTTAGGGTTTAGGGAGGGACAACGGCGAATCAAACGGATAATCAAATGGAGATTGAGATGGAAACCAGTACATGTAAGGATTGTACATGCGATGCAGGGATAACAGGATGATGGACAAGAAGTGGAAACAATTAGGGGTTAAGCTTCCATACCAAATGGGATATGTATTGGCAGTTTATAGAGGCACGTAGTAGAGAATCAGATGTGAGGGAACATAGAAAATGAAACGGACACTTGGAGTCTATAGCATAAACCCAAGAGGGTTAGGGTTTCCCAGAACAGGGGTTTCTTTGAACACGGCACGTGAAGCTATGCCAAGCTCAAGTCACGGCGCTGCCTTGTGCCAGCGAGATGGGCATTGACCTCGTCAAATAAGGATAATGGAAAAGAACATGGACACCACTTTTTGGGGTTTAGGGTTAGTAGGGAATAAGGGAAAATATTATATAGGGTAGGGATTATGTAGGGATTATAGAATCCCAGTTTCCATTTGATTTCCTGCTTCATGTTCCTTTGATTCTCCATCATGGGGGGTACTCCTTCTTGATTCTATGCCGAGGAGGAGTCCTTCAAAGTGAGACACAAGCGCAGCTGTCAGGTGCTTGTGCGATCCTCGCTCCCTTCTCCGCGTTGGTCAGTCGTCTCTGCGGATTCAGCGGCTTGGCAACAACCTGTGTACTGGTCAGAAGCTGGAGTGGGTGCTCAGTCAGATACCAGAGAAGCTAGCACAAGCATGCAGCTTCTAACATGACGCATGGTGGTCAGCCAACAGTGATTTGAAGCATGTAGGGGTCCTAAAGGACACGGGAGTTATGAAACTGCTTTCTGTCCAGGGGCGAGGGGGGCGGGGTATGGAACAACTTGCATTGTGTGGCAGCCACAACTGTGACAGCTGAAAACGGAGTCCTGAAAGCCGTCTTGAGGAAATGCTGGCTGTCCGAAGTTTGGTGGCCGGGGCCGACTCACTGATGCCAGGCGGGACATTGGATCGAAAATTGATTGAAGTTCTGCTTTTAGGGCTTGATGATCTGTTGATGCCAAGTCCTTGGGATTTGTGGCAACCCCTTATGCACAGAATACGGGACTGTCAGGCCATGATCCAGACATAGAGCAATGGCACAGCAGTATCCGATTCCTCGTGGTGTCCTCGGCGGTCATTGCCAACAACATCCTTCGCGTTTGGTGTATTGTTTTCTTTGCTCAGCACCACAAGCTGTTGCTGGTTGGCTGGCAGCTTCCCTTTGAGTTGTTGGGGGCGCTCCTCTCAATTCACATTACTTGCAAAGATGCCGATGTTCAGCGACGGTTGAGAAGCTCTGGCATTGCCGGGCGCATCTGCCTGGGTTTTCTGGCTTTCAGCATCCTTGGCCTGTGCCAGGTCATCCACGTAAAGAGGGCTTGGGCCCGGCGGATGCGGAGTGCTGAGGTGCTCGACAGTCTGGACGATCGAGACTTCATGTGGACACCCGTGCTTGGAGGCGAGCGTGGGCACCCAGTGGCCATCATCACCAACTTCTCCATCGCTGCTCGGCAATTGCCATGTCTCCAGTCTCTTCAAGCCAGCACACAACCCACACTCGTACAATAGGAAAGTTAAAAGGTTTCAACAGTGTTGGAATTCACTATCCACTATGGTGCATGTCAAATTTGTAGTCACAACTACACGAAAAGTTTTCAGGGCATCCATACGTGAGAGGTTCCTGTCACGTTGTACGCCTTTTTGACCAAACGGTGCTGGAACATGCCCGACTTTGGCAATGCGCCTTCCTCGATTTGGTGGTGCGAACGGAAGTCCGAAACTGAAACCTACGTTTTGGCAGCAGGGATTCTCTCGGCCCTCACGGTGATTAGCGTTTGTGTAGTGGACATTGATATCGTGGTCTCTGCCTTCGTGGCTCGACGCTACCACTTGGACTTTGGCCGCCGCGGCTCGCGCGTGGGATTACTGCAGGTTCTATACCCGGTGGTGCACATTACTTTCCGCATCGCAGAGGTAGTGTCAAGAATCGCTCTGTTGACCGTGTGCGTGGTGATCTCAGGCTTTGAGCTACGGGTAAGAGGTTTGGTTGCTTCCTTCTCATTGCTTGCCTTGGACTACCTCATAACATGGATCGTTCTTTGGCGCTACGCACCAAAGAGTGAGCGATGGGTGATTCATTTCTTTGTGGCACTGAGTTTCATGATCGCAGACATGGCAAAGTTCATCGATCGGCCTGGGTTCTGCTACCCTGCAAGACGCATCAGCCTTGCAATTGGGAGGCAGTCTTGCCCCAGCATGCGGTTTCTGAATCTGTCGCCACCCAGGGTAGGGAGTCATAGGTGGATCACCAAGCAGTGATGTAAAGTCGCTGGCATAGCATCCTGGAATTGATTTTGGTTGGCTTCGGTACAAGTGTGCTAGCTTGGCTTTGAAATAAATTTTCCAGAGCTGAGCGAGCTACAGCAGACAGTGTTTCTGTTCTTCTGGAAAGGCTTGTGTAACTTGTCATAATGGGTTTGTAGCAAGAAAACGACATTTGCGGGCTTCTGTTCAATCGGAAGTGCGTGGGCTTGGCTTGCTACATCTTGCTACAAGGATTTGAGAACGATGCGAATTTTGAGAACAGCTTGGATGTAGTGAAGGTTTGTACTTACTTATTCATACAAGAAGTGAAGGATTATTTCTTGAGGCTCTTTGGCCAACACAACTTGAAACTCGACTATGATACTATGGGCTGTGCGTATGCAAGAGTAGCAGCTGCTGCTTTAGGTTCATGTTGCCAAAAACACACGGGTGCAACATTGCATGCAGAGAGCGAGCTTCAAATCGTTACAACTTTGGACTGCGGGAGGTGGCGGAAGCTGCAAATTCTTCTCATTTGCGGCGCTGGCTATGCGGAGATTCGTTGGGGTGAGCGACTAGACAGGCTCGATTGGAAAAATGCTGAATACTGGCAAATTCTCGTGTGCCGTCCCCAGGTAATGTGTTGTTGCTTGTGATCCATCCAGACCTTATTTCAATTTGCCGCACAGGAAGGGATTCTTGCACTGGCATTTGTCAGGTTTCTGTGGTTCTGGGAAATCTGGATGCAGAGTAAGAAGTACTTGGGAAGCCTCACCAAATCTGTAGAAGGCCCCTTAGCCTCGGAGGCCAGGTGAAAGCACTGTTTGCACTGGACTTAGAGGTCAATGCAGATCCTCTCAAAAGCACTTCTAATCATAGGATCTCCGTGCAGTTGCATGCTTCTACCGTGCATTCTCGTGGGAGGAGAGATATCATGGAGTATCTGCGCGGCTATGCGATTCTCATCGCGCTTGCCACATCAACTTTGATCAGCCAGGTTCTCCAGCTCACGCCTATGATAGACTCCACAGGAGATGATCTTCATACTGCAGTTCAGAATCATAAGATCTCGCGCGTGCGAAAACTCCTGGACACTGGGCTGGCTGGAGAAGCCCTGGATGTGAATGGGCCAACGAAGGCACTGGAGGGGCTAAGTCACAATGAAGATCTATACTAAAGCTGAGAAGTTGTTGATGGTGAACGAGAGTAGCTGGTATAAGAAGCGCTGGCAGGACTCAGAGCAAGTCACAGCTACAATGCTGGCAGCGAAGGAGCCGGGCGGGCTGCTGCTACATTTCACAGCGCCATGAGCTGTGATTTCAACAAAAATCACCTCAGCTTCGTTGCTTGTAGATCTTCCTGCAGGTCATGCGTGGGCAGCATGCTTATGCATCTGATTCCATGTCCTTGGTGATCTTGTCCAGGAGGGCTTCGTCGAGGCTGCCTGGTCAGTGGAAGCTTCACTGCCATCTCACAAATTGATTTCTCATGGTGAGACATCAGATGTTGCTGTAGCCATCAGGCCCTTCGTATGATCATGTCTTGTGGCGGCCGCGTGGACGTGCGTGATTCAAAGGGTGAGACCCTGGGCTGATGCATCTGTTAATGGGCCTGCCATATCTCAATTGCATGTGAGTTAACTTGTCAACAATCATGAAGGAATGGTCAGCCGAGGACCTGCATCCACTATGCCGTGCGGCATCTGCAGCTGGAGGTGGAAATTTGGGAGTCAGGGAACAAGATTCAACATCCCAAGCTGTGATCACGGCACACGGCACCATCTGTGATTGCTCCGGAAGTTCTGTGGAGGCCCTGGAATTCCTGGTACGACAGCAGGGAGCAGCGCAGGCCCAGAACATGTGGCATAGGTAGCTTCTGTCAGCGATTACGTTACTGTACCTGCTTGAGCAAGCCTCTTCCGCTCTCTGAGAGGGCCCATGCCATGTTATTGGATCCTGTGCAGCCTCGGGCAGGTTTTGCATAGCTGCCGAGAGGCGGGTGCTTTTGTACATAGGTTTTGCATCGCATTATATTCCAGGTTCTTAGCTCTACGGGAAGTGTAGAGCAACCCCCCTGGTGTAGAAAGGCCATCAGCTTTCCCGAGTCTGTTCATGAAACAGTCTGTATGCATTGCATTTGCTTCTAAGTCGATGCGTGTCAAAAAGTAGTTCCGGGATCCTTGCAATTGTCCATGCAATAAGCCCGAGACAGGACTCCCAAACCTAACCATGGCTTGAATTGCAATCACGAGTTCAATCGCTTGCCTAAGCCTCGCATATGTCTCGTCTCTCCACACACCTCTCTAGAACCAGCTTCCGCTATGTCTGTACCCTGCTGAAGACTACATAGCACGCCAGATTGATGGATTTCCTGGATTTCCCTAAAGAGGCCATATGGGACCCTCAGCATGCGTGGTGAGATGAAATGCACCAGGAACTGCGCAGCTTGGCGGCTGCTGCTGCAGGTATGGACCTGACACCGCCGGAGCGTCCAGGAGCTCGCCGAGTTGTCTTGAAAGATACAATTCCTTTAGTAAAGTTGCATTACTTTGGTCTAAGGCCTAGTTTGGGTTTGGAGGCCTTGGGCTTTGGGGAAAATAAGCGTGTTGGCCATGCACGCCACAAACCACTCTTGGCACCTTGCAGGCCAGAGGCGCGTAGCCAGTTGTTGCGCTTGACCATGTTTTCCATGGAAGTCTTGACGTTCATTAGTAGAACTGACGTAGCGCGTTCGCCGCGCTCGAGGCATCTGTGAGGCAGACGTTGCCCGCATGGGAAAATTCCGGGTTTGACGGCACAGGGTGGGCCTGGCCGTGGTGTAGAGTTTGGGGCGAAGGGCTTGTGAACTTCATGATTTTTGTGACAATCATCCAACTGTATGCTGGAATTTGTTCACCGCTGCGTTACAAAGCTCACAGAGTTTGCTAACTACTCTGAATTGAGGCTACCTCGGGAAGAGTCCGCATCTGAAACCCTTGAAACGATGAAGGGGTCTGAGCGGTGTTCAGCCAACGTCTGGCCAGGACCGGAGGTGATTGAGAGCGGAGGCGCGCAGCCTTTGGACGAGATGCGGAGAAGTCGCGGTAGGGTCGTGGTGGAAAGCCCAGCAAACGAGACGCCGTCATTCCTATTTCGCGCCTCTGCGAAGTTTGCACGTAGGCTGAGCCCCGACGAGGCCCGTCGCTTGGTTCTATTGCTCGAGCCAAACAGAGGTACCCGAAGAAATGCCGAGGAGAACCAGGTCTCTGGAAGATTGAGGAACGTGAGAACACATTTGGCTATGAGCCGGCACCTTCTTCGACTCTTTCCAAACGCCTTGGAAGAGGATGTGCCCCAACTTCATGAGCTCCACTCTGTCAGTGCATTGGTTTTTGGCCATGGTGCTGGTGCATTTGCGCGAGCTTTCCTGCACGTTGCGCCGGTTGCCGGGTGGCTGCAGTCTTTGAGGCGCGTGAGGGAGCTGGGCCAAGGAGCATCAGGAACCGTGATCGAGGTGCCCTACTCTGAAATTCTAGGCCACGTTGGGTTGTGTGCATAGACGACACGGTCAGGTCATGCTGAGGCATAATTTCAGGGGGCCCCCAAAAATTTGGTGATCCAGGTGGAGCTGGATGACTCCCTCGTCGCGTCTCCGAGCAGATCCGGTTTCATGTTTGCACGGCCAAGGCTCTTGACCAACGCGTCTGCACCGCGATCGCTGGATGATGTCACATTTCTGGAGCCACGCCGCTTCGCGATGAAGCTGCAGTCCAAGCGGAATCTAGACTGGCAGGCCTACTCAGAGGTGGTCGCTCTGAGAAGGGCGGGACATCCCTTCATCGTGCGCTTAGAGCAAGCATTTCAGACTCCTCATTACTACGCCTTGCTGTTGGAATTCTGCCCGAATGGAGACATGAACCAGCTCTTGTGCAACACGCACGAGAACGGGCGGCGCCTGGGTTTACCTGTGAGCCGCGCTGGCCTCAGAGAAAAAAGGCTGGGCTAAGTCAAAGAATGTGAAGCCGGTTGCTGAGGAGCCGCGAAGTATGCCGGCCAAGTGCTGCTGGCACTGGTCCATCTCCATGAGGCCTGGCCCGTGAAGGCGAAGCAGTGGAGGATTTATTGGAGCATCAGCTGGCAGGTGCTGGGCATCATCTACCGTGACGTCAAGCCAGAGAACATCCTCCTGTCTGCACAAGATGAGGCTGGGACTGGTATTCTCATTATTATGTGTAACACTGTTATTATCAGCAGTACTAGTAGTAATTTAGTGTTATTGACATTTTTAATTTTAGTATCATTACTCTTATCTTCAGTAGTCTTGTTATTATTGCTATTATGAAGCAGTGCAAGCAGTGTGGCCTTCGCGAGGCCAAGCTGGCGGACTTCGGGCTTGCCCTGTATGTAGGGGGCAACTTCTTCAGTGCAGCTTGCCTGATGAAGCGGGGTGTATATAAGGGTTATATGGGGTTATATGTGGATTATAAAAGAGGTGATGTAAGGATTATATAGGGGTTTCTAGATGTCTATAGGTGTTGTTTAGGGAGAATGGAAAAGAAAAAACAGCCACTATTCAGGGTTAAGGGTTTGGGGTAGCTTCTTCAGCGAAGCTTGCCTGATGACTGGCCTTTGGTTAGCTGGGGATGAAGGAATGGAAAAGAAAATAGAAACTACAGTTTTGGGTTAAGGGTTCAGTGTTTGAAAGGAATGGAAAAGAAAATGGAAACTATTATCAAGGGTTAAGGGTTCAGCTTTTAAACGGAATAGAAAAGAAATTGGAAACTGCTATAATGGGTTAAATAGGAACTACTCTCAGGATAAGAAAATGGAGACTACAATAATGAATTATATAGGGACTACTCTCAAGATAAGAAAATGGAAACTACTATAATGTGTTATATAGGGACTACTCTCAGGATAAGAAAATGGAAACGACTACAATGGGTTTTATAGGAATTACTCTCAGGATAAGAAAATGGAAACTATTATAATGGGTTAAATAGTAGCTAACTACTCTCAGGATAAGAAAATGGAAGCTATTACAATGGGGTATGTAGGGACTACTATAAGGATAAGAAAATGGCAATTACTATAATGGGTTTATAGGGATTACTATGAGGATCCTGTCCTTTCATTCCTAGCTAACCAAAAGCCTGATGACGCTGCTCCAATGTGGTCGGCTCCCTACATAGCGGAAACCCAATGTAGACCCCCAAATGCTATACTCACCGTTTTTGGGAACCCCCCAAAAAGGTGCCCATAATTCAGGGAACCCCCATGTTTTGTTCATTGTCAAGCTTGTTGGGTTCATCTGACACTCAAGCTTTGGGATCCTTGAATGCCAGTTCAGCGGCTTACCTGGGCTATGAAAACTCATAGTTCGCTGGAGGCCAACTACTCCATGCCCATTGCGGGCACACCCAGGCCGACAGCTCCTGCTCTGCGAATACACGTGAGGGTTTCCCAAAATTTGGGGGAGCATTTTGGCGGTCCCTAGAATAAGGATTATAGTATTTTGGTGTCTATATTATTGGGGTCCCCCTATATAGGGAAACCACCATGTTGCGGTGGTGTTTGCTTTGCTGTGGAGGCGTAAACCCTAAACCCACAAAAACCCTATATGTGCTATAGTCTCAACTCCTTAAAGGGGGTTATACAAGGGATTACATAGTTGAGTATTATAGGGCTTACTAGGGAGGATACTAGGAGTTTAGACTATACTAGGAGTTTAGGCTCTGGCTCATATAATCCCCTGTATAGCTACATAAACCCTAATCCCTGAACCCTACATAATCCCCTAAGCCGCAAACCCTAATCCCCAATCCCTATATAATCCCCGATATAGCTACATGGACCCTTTGGGCTACAGTTGGCTGCTTCTCTGCACAGGTTTCTGGCCCCCGAGCTGGTGCTGGGCGAGGAGTCCGACAGTGAAATGTCATCAATAGAGCAGGGCACCAGCCTCAGAAACAAATCCCCCTAGAATCCACACATTGCCCCTAGACTACGGTAGACTATAGCATATTCTAGTACACTATGGTATATTATAGCATACCATAATATATGATAATATATTATAGTATAGTAGAGTAGATTATAGTATACTATGGTCCAAAAGTGCAAGGCACATGTCCCATCGTAACGCGCAGGATAATTGACTACTGCTGAGGTGCCTTGCGGGACGTACGGTTTGATCCTTTCAAGACCGATGCGTGACCTCCGCTCGTTTTTTGCGTCCTCAACATACAGCATACCCCACTAGTATATTGGGGTTAAATTGGGATAATGGAAAAGAAAATGGAAACTACTGTAGGATATTGGGGTCATATTGGGGGTATATGACTTGAAGTCGGTCTCATGTATTAGTGTGGCGCTCTGCACGAACCATACCGAAAACGTTCATGAAACAGCGATCAGCGGCTGGCAGGAAGAGGGGGCGAGAAAGCGGAAATTTTGTACGGCTGAGAAACAAGGTGCGGAGCAGCAAGCTGGTCCGTGAATGTCAGGGGAAGGACAGGAGCTCTAAAAGCAACAAGAGTGCAGATGTGCCTTTCATCCAGGCACTGCAAGCTAATATTTTCTTCAAGGTCGCTCTAGGGGAAGATTGTGAAAAGTGAACGCCGACGCGGTAGAAGCCGGGTTCAAGATTCAGAGATGTGTAAGCTGTGAAGCAGCGGCCGCGAATACGATGCCAATGGCTGATGCTCGAGACTGCCAATTCACTGTGCGTTGCACATTAAGCAGGCGAGGATTGAGGCAACAGATCTGTGCCACAGCACGCTGTAGGCCTGCAAAGCCTTCCGAACCTGATGCCTGAACCCTCGGGCACTTTACTTGAACCAGGCCTAGTCCAGGTCTAACATTGGCTTGTCATGCAAGACTTGTGCAAGGACATACGCATGATCTTAACCTCTGCATCCAGGTACAGCTTCGGGGTCACGCTCTATGTCATGCTGTTGGGAGAAGATTGTGCTGATTTGGAGCATGGTGATAGGGAGTATTTGTCTTGTCCTCAGGCTTACCTTTCATCGATCGCATGATTCAAGTGCTCACAGAGCCCAGGTGGATCTTGCCAAGGAGGTGCTGCATGTTTGCCATGGTCACACGGAGTCGTTTCATCCAACATTCGAACGATGTCAATCTACTGTGAAAACATTTGATTGCATCAGACTCCGCGCATCACTTGTGCTGAAGTAAGACAGGCTACCCGACGCAGAGCAGACGGAGCTTCTCGAGAGCTCCTGCAAAAATGGCCGGCTTCTTCCGGAGGCCTAGAAGGGATGCAACAGCAGAGAAGGCAAGTTGGTGTGCGCCTCTTCCCCTGGATGAGCAGTCCCCCAGGCAAAGGACCTCCTGGAGCAGCTTCTTCCATCCAGGCGGGAGAAGCCCTGGCATTGCAGAAAGTGTTGATTGCCGGCATCAAAACCGCGAAGCCCCTTTAGTATTTTGCCAGAACTTCGCATTAGCAACTCTGGCAGGCCACAAATGCGCAGACGTTTGGCAGATACCGAAATCAAGTCCGCATCCCAGCGATTGCTGTCGGCGGCCGTGGTCGGTAGCCACACATTGTGAGGAGCCACAACTTCTTTCTAGTGGCGTTGGGTTGCAAGGTGGGCCCTGTGAAGTCAAGCGCAAGCAAGATCGTACTCAGAGATGGCTTTTGCCAGGACTTAGAGGCGCACCTGCTGAGCGAGGCAGGATACCCTGTCACTACGCAACCCACAACTTGACCAACGTGCTGGCTGCGCCTTTGCTCAGCATCGCTGCCTATTTGTCACTTGTTGCTTTGCGATTGAAGCTCTCCATCTCTGGCAACCACACTAGCTGTGACAACAGCCGTGCTTCGCCTGATCTGAGAGATTGGCCCGCTTGTTGAAGTGGTCGTGGATGCGTTCCCATGAATGAACTTGCGAGTATGCCAAGCGAAAGTCGCCGCAGCTGCTGCAGCAGCAGCAAATAGCCATAGTCATAGCATGCCGTTGCAGTAGCAGTACTGCAGGAGGAGTAGTAGTAGCAGCAGTCATAATTATTGTCCTTCTTGCTGCTCTAGCAATTAGCAGCGCCGTTGGCTGGTGTCTGCGAGAGGTTCAGAAACGCCTTCCTTCAAGACATGTCCTGCTTTTCTGGCTGTGTCAGAACATCTGACGCAGAAGCAGAAGCTGCACAAACCGTGCGGCTGAGTACTGTGCCTGGGCAGGACAGCTGAGACCCTCTCTACCGACAACTTGCGCAAAGGGCACACAGGGCTATCCATATGCTCAAATCCAGGCCCAAGGCCTTCACAGATTCTGCAGTGCAGTGATTTCATGCCCAGGGTCTAGGGTCATTGTCATCGGCATGTGAAGCTCACGAAGTCCGGGTGCCGCTTGCTGCATGTTTCGGCCTTATGCTCATGTTGCCATGCCGCAGCCGATTGGCGCAGCTGATGATCGAGATCAGCTTACACTGACCTTGTATGCACCAGTATTTGCGATCCTTAAGATGTCCGAGCCCCACCCCAACTTCCATCCTAACGCAAAAGATCTTACACAATAATTCCAAGACTTTTTGAAAACAAAGTTCTGCCCCGCAGCATGAAGCGCGCAGCAGATGAGATCTCCAAGGCCAAGACCCCAAGACTTTGCCGACTTCCAAGATCCACTGCCAGTTGCAACCTGTCAGCACGCAAGGAAGAAGCACAGGAGGAAGATGCGCGCGTCTTAGTGCCAGGGGCAGTGCCTTCCAAAATTGGATATGCGCCTAAACAAGGAGTTCATGGTAACTTTCCCAAGTAATGTGGTGGGAAACTTGTACCTGAACCACATGCTGACGACAAACAGTGGGGAGCGCATTGCGATTTAGTTGTTGAGCAGCTTCTCAGGTCATGGATGAGCATGATCCTTCAGAACCGTCTGCGATTGAGGCTGGCTGAAGAGATTCTGTGCACTTCGAATTCAAATTTAGATATTGCAGCCGAGGTCAAGGATTCCGCTTCCTTTTGGCGCTGCCAGGCCTGTTCATGAAGCATAGCTGCTGGCCTGTCCGCAAAAAATGCTGAGATCGAAGCCGTGTACCGGCGTCGAAATCCGCACAAGTTGAGCAACGTGCAGGTTGGGTCCTGGTTCGCTGGTGGGGCTCTTTACCCAACATGCTGCAACTTCAGGCGTTGCTCGAAAAATACAAGGACAAGGAGGCGGTGCTCTATGCCAAAGTCTGCAAGGCCGGAATCAGCTCTTTGGCACAGGTAGAATGAAGGGAGCGAATTAGCTGCAATACATTCTCCTTAGTGTTTACCAACGTCATCTCTTTGCTCCCTGAGAAATGAGATGTAGCAGCCCAAGCTCATTTGAAACTCCCCTGGCAGCAAGGCATACGACCTGGATCCTCGCAAGTTCTACGCAGATGCGAAATCCTGGGAGCAGAACAGCCGGCTAACTTGAAGAGGGAAGCACAATCAATGATAGGTAGCCAACTGAGTTTTGCACAGGTACGAAACAGATGTGCAGGACGAGCCACAGCCCGCTGAGCTGGACTCCCAGCTTTGCACTTCACTTGGTCCGCGGTCTTTGGTGACGTCGGGCAAGCTGCTGCTTGGCTGGCTTCGATGTGGGGAAGGGACAAGCAGAGACTAATTGATATCTCGACGCTTCGAGCTCATGCCTTCACGTGGCCGCCTCATCCCTTCTCCACGCAAACCAGCGTGCCAGATACGGCTGCTGTAGGAGGCCCAGTATGCAAAAGCCCCCAAGCTATCCCTAGCTATCATGGGCTTTTGATTTAATTTAACGGCGCTGACTGGCAATTTGCAACAATCAAGGGCAAATTCCCAACCAGAACTACTGTGGCATTTGCAGAAGTTTAAGGTGCCTGCACGAAGAAGATTGCGATGCAGATGTGCTGGCCTGCTTGATGCTCATGACATGCTTCTCCTGTACCGACATGACAGCCCAACGTAGATAATGTAGCTGAAGGATTTTCAGTATCCTGCAACGCTAAGGATGCAGCAGTAGGCACTGGTGCAGCCATGCCAGGATGCTGCAGCTCCACGAACAACTCCGGCGCTTTCGGCAGGAACTGGTGTTTTTGCCCAAGCTTCTCTTGGAAGAGCTCATGTACATCAGGAGTTCTGGGCTCATGCTTTCGGCATCTTACTAGTCGCATCTGTTAGCCAAGGTTGTTATCCCCAGCTTGTTTGGAGTGACATCCTTTGATCAGCCACAAACAGGTGTTGGCCCGGGACCCGGTGCACCCCGAAATCTCAACTGTTGCACCACAACCAAGCGGTAGAATTGTGCAGCATGCACAGGATGCGAACTGCTTAGGCACAGGACACAAGTTCAAAGCTCGTGCTCGAGCTGCAGAGCATTCCGAGGAGGAGGAGGAGGTTTGCGAGAAGCCCGAGCCTTACAGCTGAGCCTGAACGT